TACATGTGGAAGAATTGACAATAAAGCAGACTTGACTTGACTTATCAGTGATGCAATTTACTATCAGCTATGCATGTTCTGGTAATTGCTAACAAATGTTTCAATTTTCGTTTAGGACTGTGGCTGCATCAACGACATCTTGCACAAGAAAGGCACGCGAGTGTCGTTCAGTTTTGAGTTCGCTGGAAAATCATACTGAGTAAGTGCACAGTATAGTAATTGTACTTTTATTATGCCTAGACTATATGGTAATATTATTTGTGGTTGATAGTGTTAAAATGTAGTTTCTTTGTTATTGGCATTCTGTTTTCTCATGAAGTATGCATACTATACTAAGGTACTGTGGGAAAAAATGCTAACGATTGTTTATAAAAAAATTTAGGACTGTGAATACACCACTCTTGCCTTCACCTGCATCTCACACAGGAAGGGAACGCTCCTTCAGTTTTCATCTCCATTCAGAATCTTATAGGGTAAGTGTGCATTCACTATTTATGGTAAAATATGTTTGCTATGTGGTAATTGTGTTCTTTGTTTTGATAAATTAGTACTAGTATCAGTGAACATCACAATAATGTTAATAATGTAGTTTGTGTAAACAGCATGCTTACTTTTTTATTTCAGATGTGAGAATAACAGTGTAAAAGAATCCCAAACATCCCAAAATGATGTTTTATTAACAAAGTTCGGGAGGAGCTCGTACAGATAATTATCCCGGCCAATTCATTATCAGCAATCACATCATCTATCCTATCAGCACGAGAGAGAACCTCTTTATAAATAGCCTAAGACGTCTTGCTTATATTTTCTCTAAGTCTTTCAGCATCCCTCCTTCACCCCGACTCCACACCATCAGCCCGTTTCTACCCTAAGGGGGGAGCGAATGTCCGTTCCCTTCTTAACAAAACGGATTAACTTCTTCTCCTCACCCGCATTAACAAGGACTTCTCAAACTCTGCTGAATTGTGCTTCACTGACACCTGGCTGAGTGAAGCCATTCTGGACAACGCGCTTCATCTGTCGGGCTTCCAGCTATTGCTGGAGTTGCGGAGTTAACGGGGAAAACGAGAGGTGGTGGATTGTGTTTCTATATCAACGAAAGTTGGTGTTAAGATTTAACAACTCTGAAAAAGATATGCTCTCCTAACTTAGAGGCACTCTGCATAAACTGTAAACCTTTCTACTCGCCGTGGGAGTTTTCCTCTTTCATTCTTATGAATATGTACGTTCCCCCAGATGCGTGTGTGAGCGCAGCGCTTCAACAGCTGGCTGAACTAATAACTGAAATGGAGCAAAGGTACCCAGACTCTCTTAGAGATTTAACAAATCAAATCTTTCCCGTGAACTGCCAAAATACAAACAGCACATTACATGTCCCACCAGAGACAGTAATATATTGGATCACTGTTACACCACAATAAAGGATGCATATCACTCTGTTCCACGAGCAGCTTTGGGGCTCTCTGATTACTGCCTAGTTCATCTTATACCGACCTACAGGCAGAAACTGAAATCAGCTAAACCTGTACTAAGTAATGTTAAAAGATGGACTAATGAATAGGGTTGGGTATCGTTTGGTTTTTTTTCGATACCGGTGCCAAATCGATTCTTTTAAAATGGTTCCGGTGCCTAAGCGGTGCCTGAACCGATATTTATTAAAAAATAAATAAATAAAAATTCCCCCCAAAAATTATGGA